ACACACACACATATATATACATATATATATATATATATATATATATAGCCTATCTATGGTGGTGCATGTGTCTTTTTGCTGTGAAATGTTCCCTGAATTTTTTTCCAAGTAAATATAACAGTAACTATAATATAAGCATTTAAGTATAATAATATTAGAAGAATAACTTTAAGAATAAGAATAACTTTTATATTGTTCAACCTGTGTTCAGTCCGACAAGAACGCAGCAAGCGAACATTGAGCGCCTGTCCCTTTAAGATGACATGCTACCTCGGCCAGACTGACATCGCCATGGCGGAAGCGCAGTCAAGAGAGGCTGCAGCAGACTGTATAACGTACCCCCATTACAAGCCTTAATAAAAGAAGAAAATAGAAAAGGACACACCGCTTTTGTTAGTTCGCCATGCACTCGTATTTTGAACATCTAGCGACGTCAGATGCGTCACCAGTGACGGGAGAGCGCTGATCTCGGCGGTGACTGACTTTCTAGGGTTGAGTGGCTGAAGTCCAGCTCCAGTGTTGACAGAGTTCATTCAGTTATTGCATGATTAATAGACACGGCTTAGTGACTCCAGACGGAAGGGCGCAAACTTTGTTTACTTCGCGTATTTTTTGCTCTTGGAAGTAGCTATTAAAGACGTTCCTGGTGGTATTTGAGTTCTTTAACAAGGTAAAATCGCCTTATTTTGTGTGAAATGTGACGTTTTGAACGGGAAAAGTAATGTTAGTAGAGTAAAAGTCGTCTCTGGTTCTTGTTTACGAGGCAATTTAAGAGGTAGAAAAGGTAGTATTCGTGTAGAAAACACTTTAGTAAAACATGACCCGTTTCGTTGGGCTCTGAAATGTCATATAAATTAGTGTTTTGTACAGTACGGTGACAATAGCGATAGTGGACAAAGCTGGCCGTTTAAAGTACTGACGTGTCCTTTGGCGTGCGGTCAGTGCCAAAGCTGGAGGGACACGCCTGTCGCCGTTGCCCCAGCATCTTTATGCCCCAGCATCTTTAACCGGGAGTCAGCCGTCAACGCCACGTCAGAATGTCAAGAGCCGGCCGAAGACCCAAAGCTTTGCACGCCAATAACGGGCACGCGCTGGCAGGATGCGACCCGCTGAGAGTGGCGCGCGTGCGCGTGCTGCTGCTGTGTCTCTGCGGCGCGCTCTCGCTGGCCATGATTCTGGCGCTGTATCTGTCTGCAGAGCCCGGCGGCACCCTACAGCAGCATGCTGCACAGCTCACCAGCGACAGGGTGAGCTGAACTGAGCTAATGCATTTATGCTACGACTAACAATTCTGTCTTACTGAAAGACTTGTTTGACCCAAAGATAAAAATTCTGTCATTATTTTGATATGTAATTCCATCTTCAGGATTGACTTTCTTGCAAGGTTATTATCATTAACTAAAACTATTAATTGATTTAAAAAAAAATTGAAATTAAGCTTAAAGAAAGAAAGAAAGAAGGGTGAAAAAAATGTAAACTAAACGAAAATTAGATATTTTGCTGTGGCAACTTACTGAAATAACTTTAAATTGAAGCGCTGAAATTATTAACTGGAATTAAATAAACTAAAACTTAACTAAAACAGAAATAATAATAAATTAAACGTAAATAATAAATGAAACCTAAATAGTAATTTAAGAAAAGTACATTAAAAGATACTAAAATTAAATGTAACTGAAAATGCAAAAATAAAAGAGAATTCAAAGTATTCATATACTATACATATATTCATATACATAGTATTCATATAATACTAAAATAACACTGCTTCTCTTCCATGGAGGACAAAGGTAGATGTTAGGCAGAATGTTTACATTGCTGTTTTCAAAAAAGCAAATGGGCACAGACTGTCATGCTCCAAAAAAGAAAAAGAAAAACAAGATACTAAAATTAAATGTAACTGAAAATGCAAAAATAAAAGAATTCAAAGTATTCATATACTATACATATACATATATTCATATACATAGTATTCATATAATACTAAAATAACACTGCCTCTCTTCCATGGAGGACAAAGGTAGATGTTAGGCAGAATGTTTACATTGCTGTTTTCAAAAAAGCAAATGGGCACAGACTGTCATGCTCCAAAAAAGAAAAAGAAAAACACCATAAAATATGCAATATCAAGAGGTCCACAGTCCATATCAGGGTGCCCCCTGTGGACTTGGCAGCTTTGGAATAACCAAAGCCTTGGATTGCCGCAGCAATATGGCTGCCCACTGCTCCGAGTGTGTGTTCACGGTGTGTGTGTGTGTGTGTGTTCACTTCTCACTACTGTGTGTGTGCACTTGGATAGGTAAATGCAGAGCACAAATTCCGAGTATGGGACACCACACGTCACATCCTTTCCTTTCCTTTCCAAGTATGGACTACTTTTATTGTGTTTATTTTTGACAGTATGTGGCCCTTCACAGCCCAATGTGCTTAGTTCCAAACTGCTCTAACACACCTACTTTGAAGTTTCTAGTAATCCTAAAGACCTTGATTAGCTGGTTCAAGTTTGTTTAGCTATGGTTTGACCTAAATTCTGCAGGAAGGGGGCCTGTCAGGAAGAGGATTTGGACACCCTTTTTTAGATAAGATAAATATGATCATATGCTCACCTTTTCATTTCTGCAGAATGCTCATAAGCCAAATAAACACTCTGTGGCACAAATAAAGAAGTTTGCAGCACAGGTGGACGGGCATCGGCTCTGGGAGACTCACCTGCGGCCCCTGCTAATTGAACGAGTGCCCGGGACTGCAGGCAGTCAGACCATACGGCAGGTAATGCCTCACCCTGAACAATACATGTTCTACTACTATCTAAACATCTTCAATCACAGCGCGATTACATCCCTGACCCTAGACCCAGGTCGTAATATATTGCACATTGTTTCCTATATTACAAGATATATGTAATAACATTGCTCTCTTTTTTTAAATAGTTCACCCAAAAATGAAAATTTGCTGAAAATGTACTCACCTGCAGGCCGTACAAAATGTAGATAAGTTTGTTTCTTCATCTTAACAGATTTGGAGAAATTTAGCAGTACATCACTTGGTCACCAATGGATCCTCTGCAGTGAATGGGTGCCGTCAAAATGAGAGTTCAAACAGCTGATGAAAACATGACAGAAATCCACAAGTAATCAACATGACTCCAGTTAATTAATTAACATCTTGTGACGCGACAAGCTGTGTTTGTAAGAAGTAAATCTATCAAGATGTTTTTTTAACCTCTTCTATTCATTATAATGCTTTTCCCAGCGAAAAAGTCATCTTGTCTGAATCAAGAAAGATATATGCACAGATCAAGCACTATTTTACAGTTCTAAACAAATATGTCGGTGGATTTTGATGTGAAAGGACAACATGGGATGGTCTTTTTCTGTGAAGAAAGCATTATGAATTATGACCAGAAGCACTGGTTTAAAGTTAAAAAGCCTTGATGGATTTATTTCTTACAAACATGCAGCATTTCACATCACAAAATATTAATTGATGGACTAGGGTCGTGTTGATTACTTGTGGATTATTGTGATGTTTTTATCAGCTGTTTGGACTCTCATTCTGACGGCACCCATTCACTGCAGAGGATCCATTGATGAGCAAGTGATGCAATAATAAAAAATAAAAAAAACATTAACATCCTGGATGGCTCTCAGGCTGAGTAAAGTTTCAGCAGATTTTCAATTTTGAGTGAACTATTCCTTTAAAGGGGTCCTATTATGCTCTTTTACAAAGTCTTGATTTTGTTTTGGGGGTATACTAGAACAGGCTCTCATACTAGGTTGTTTGAAAAACACATTATTTTTCACATATTTTACATTATTACAGCACCTCTCTCCCCAGTCTGGCATGAACGGCTCGAATAGTTCCTGTATCAAATGAAAGCCCGCCTTCTGAAATACGAAATGTGCTGTGATTGGTTAGCTGGGCCAGTGTGTGCTGTGATTGGTTAGCTGGGCCAGTGTGTGCTGTGATTGGTTAGCTGGGCCAGTGTGTGCTTGAAGTGGACTTTGAGCTTTGTAACTTTGCAGATCTTTTTTATGCTCAAACAGCAACATTACAGACTAACTAAAGTTGAAAAAGTGAAAAAGCATAATAGGACCCCTTTAAATATCTTTTTCTGATAAACATGCAGTGAAGGTCAGTAAAATTCTCTCACCTCTTCCAACTACAGCACATCTTGTCCCAGCTGGGCTCACTGTCAGCAGGATGGACACTGGAAGAGAATTCCTTCGTTTCATCCACCCCGCAGGGTAAAGTGACCTTCACCAATGTTCTAGCAGTTCTGGACCCCACGGCTCCTCGCAGGCTGCTTCTAGCATGCCACCATGACTCAAAGATCTTACCTGCAGACCCTAAAAACCCCAAGCGGGTGTTTGTGGGTGCCAGTGATTCAGCCATACCCTGTGCTATGATCTTGGAGCTGGCCACTGCTCTGGACACACAGCTTAAAGCTCTAAAACTGCAGGTAAATCACAATCATGAGGAAAAGGGTGAAGATATTTAACAAGAATCAGCTGCATCACATTGCTGAATCAAGCCTAAAGTGTGTGTACTTCATTATGAGTCCGAGAGAGAATAGATTACCTGCATCCTCTCTGTCTGCCTTTCTCTCCAGAGGTCTGCTGTTACATTGCAGTTGGTGTTTTTTGATGGAGAGGAGGCTTTTGAGGAATGGACAGAAACAGACTCTCTCTACGGTTCTCGTCATCTGGCTGAACTTATGGCCCGTACTCCCCACCCTTCTGGATCCACCAAAACCACTCTTCTCCAGGCAGTGGTGAGGTTGTGTGTACTTCGATCAGTCTGTCTGTTTGTTTTTTCATATATTTTGCTGTGTGGTTAATGGTAAAGAATGTTTATGGATGAGAGGTTTTGAGTTCAGGGTATCCGCAGCTATCAGCATGTCAAATGTAATACTTTTTAATACCCTTTTCAAGACGTTTCAGATATTTGAAGACCTCCTCGTAACTTTGATTTGTCATTCAATACAGGTTCAATCATCACATCAGCTACAAAATTAATTGCATTCATACATGTACAACAAATAAAAACATTAATTCATTGGTGGTTTATACACAAAAACACCCTGTATAGAAAAAAACAAAAACACAGTATAGAAATGTTTTTAATGAAAGTAAAAAAAATCTGATATTTGACTATTTTTTATTTAACTGTATTTTATTATTATTGTTGTTATTATTATTAGTATTACTTTACAGTATAATAGTAATCTTACAGTAATAATATATATATTTTTTTTAATTAATCATCCTAGACCTGAGGATGGAAATGTTAAAACAAACAAGAAATACCTTGGTAAACTATTTTATAATTTATTAAAATTACATTTAAACATTATTTTATATTTTATATAATATTTTATTAATAATACTTTTATTATTAAATTGTATTTAATAGTATTATTTTATTTAAATTCTTTTTTATATGTTTTACCTTAAAGTAGTAATAGATTTTGATTTAAATTTTATTTTAATTAATCATCCTAGACCTGAGGAGGGAAATGTTAAAACAAACAAGAAATACCTTGGTAAACTGATTTATAAATTGATTAGAATTACATTTAAACATGAATTTGTTTTTTTGTATAATATTTTATTAATGATACTTTTATTATTACATTTTATTTAATTGTATTATTTTATTTAAATCCTTTTTTATGTTTTACCTTAAAGTAGAAATTAAATTTTGATTTAAATTTAATTTTAATTAATTGTGTCACACTAGACCTGAAGACGGAAAAGTTAATACAAAAAAATATTCACTGGTAAATAGATGTATTACCTTTTTTATTTTTATATTTTTAATGAGATGTGAATACCCTGTTATTTTAATGTTGAAACTCGATTTTCCTTCCAGGATCTGTTAGTCCTGCTGGACCTGCTTGGTGGCCCAGAACCATTGATTGTCAATCACTTTGATAACACAGCCAGATGGTTTGACCGACTGATCACTGCAGGTATAAGTTCAAAACAACCCCGATTGGGTTGCAGCCTAAAAATGCATGACGTTTACAGTCAGAATCCCTCTCTGTTTCTTTTTCAGAGAAGAGACTCCACAAACAGGGTTTGTTGACATCTCACCCATCAGAACAGAGTTACTTCAGGAAAGATTTTTATCTTGGTCCCGTGCAGGATGATCACATTCCATTTTTAAACAGAGGTCAGTAAACAGTCAGACAACATATGCTACTATTCAGAAGTTTTGTTTTAAACACATTAACATAAAAAAAAATTTCATGTTTTTTTTTTTTTTTACCTTTTTTTCATGTAAAAATGCTGTTCTTTTTGACTTTTTATTCATCAGAGAATCCTGAAAAAAAATTAGCATGGTTTCCACAAAAATATTAGGAAGCACAACTATTTTCAACATTGATAATACGAAGAAATATTTCTTGAGCACCAAATCAGCATATTAGAATGATTTCTGAAGGATCATGTGACCCTGAAGACTGGAGTATTGATGCTGAAAATTCAGCTTTGCCATCACAGCTATAAATTACATTTTAAAATATATTAAAATAAAAAAAAAGTTATTTTCAATTGTAATCATATTTCACAATATCCATGTTTTTACTGTATTTTGATCAAAATTATAACATTATAAAAATCTTTCCAACCCCAATCTTTTGAATGGTAGTGCAGCCTATTTAAATTACAAGTGATGCACAGATCACGGCTGTGTTTACTTTTGTTGTGCAAACAACGTAAAGCAAATGGATCGAACAAGTTGAATTGGTTTCGTTTATACTTCTGAACCAGGTGTACCTGTGCTTCACTTGATCCCCACACCATTTCCTGTGTTCTGGCACACACTGGATGATGCAGAGGAGAGGATGCACAGGCCCACGGTGGAAAACCTAACTAGAATCCTGGCCATCTTCGTGGCCGAGTACCTGAGCCTCTAAACATGCTGTGATGATCATCCTACAGCAGACGATCACAGCACATGACCATGTGTTCAGTGCAGTTGAATGTGTGATGTAGGAGCTGGTAATAATAATAATAATAATAATAGAGCCATAGATCAGAATAACCAAAGAGACACACAGCATAATGACGTGTTTATTTGGAATGTGAATGGTACATGCTGAAGATATTCATATATTTTTCTGCTGAAAAGAGCCATATGTCATAATAGGACAAACGTTACGGCAGCTGTAGGAGCCCTAATGTCATCCTTAAAGAGACTGTTAATTTTGTGGTAAAAGACTCGTTTCATGTCATTCAATGGAACTCGGAGTGAAGTTTGTTTAATTATTACATTCAGTTAGTTCATTATCCATAATTTGCACAGTATGTGCTGATGAACTGTATTTTAAATGCTGTTGCATTCAAGCTGTGTTCGGGAAAGGCAGTGGTGGTGCACTTTACAAGAAGGTCAGTATGCAAGACACTGAGAGACAATTGTTTTAAGAATCTGTGAGTAGCATTTCATGTGACCTGAGAGAGATAGATCTTTTTTTTTTTTTTATGTTCCTCAGTCATTGAGCTGTTACCATTATGAACCAAAAGACCATGTCAAGGGTCTAATGGATATTCATAATAAACTTAAGGAAACTCTGGATTTGAGTGTCTTTTAATTTTGTTGAAGTATAGAACACTAAGATTGATCCTGTGTTGAGTTACAGCAAATTAAAGTCTGCTGCTGTATTGATATGTTACTCTTTGGGGCTGCAAAAATGATAATTTTTTTTTTTAAGTCATGGTGAAATGGAAGTAGAGGTCTGTCTTTTCTACTGTATTGTGATGCATGTCCAAGTGAAACAGATTACCGAAAAAGAAAAAAAGTAGTTTCAATCAATTGTAATAAAGGATGGGGTTTATGAGAACAAAATAATTGGAAGAGTTCGGCGCACACCAGATGGAGATGATGGAGTTATGACATTTCGATTAAAAATTACGTCAATTTTTTACAAAATGAAACATGCATGGATAAATTATTCACAATAAGATCAATAACATGCAATTAGAAAACAGGTAGGGTGAATTTAAATTTCATGCTGACTTAAAAAAAACAAAAAAAAACAAGACATACAAAGAGAGGATGTGACTCAGTTATAGCAATGGAAGAAGATGCAGCATTATGAGCGGTCACAAATTATGGGGGAAAAAATGGAAGATACTTTGGCATTTTCAATTCAAACTACTGCTAGTTGCACAAGTGGAATAAACTTGCTTTACTGAAATACAGTATGCACTGAAACACCGACGTTAGGGTGCACTACAAACTAAACAAAATTACAAAAAAGAAAAAAAATTTGCTGCCAGCTGAACTGATGCTCAGTTTTGTTTTACAGAGCTCAAGATTGACTTTGTTAAAGGTGCTGTAAGTGATTTCAGCCATTTTGCTAACTTCTGCCACGCTGTCAAACAACTGCATAGAAGGCTAAAAAAAAGAAGAAGCATTGGCCTATTCCCCTGACTCTCTTTTATGCCGTTCACAATCTAGGCTCACAGCTGTGACTTATAAAGACACCTATTTCAATTATGTTGCACCAGTAAACTGCAAAACATTGTTTTATGACCTGTATTCCACTGCATCAATTTCAGTAGTGTGTCCCAGGTGGCGTAGAGGGGGCGGGTGGGCAGAGAGCTGCTGGGAGCAGGAGAAGAGTGTGCTGGGACTCGCCGGCGGTGAGAGTTCCTCATCAGAGCTCAGGAACGCTCCTGCTGACGTTCTGCTGGAACACAGGAATAACTCGAATATAAAATCTGAAATATGCCATACTGGGATCAAACATGAATATGTAAATGGGTTCTGAATTCTTTTGGTTTGTGACATCCAGCAGAGGGCAGCATGGAGCCAATGAAAGAAGACTGCTTTTCTTTCTAACAGGCTCTTTAACCATCTAAAGCAGTGGTTCTCAACCATTTGGATAAGGATTTTTAATATTTTTTTTACTCAGAATTCTAGTAAAATATTTTAGAGTTTGGCATAGAAATATGTATAATCATTATAAGAAATGCCCATGAAGCTATAAGATTTTATTAATTTACAAGACTTTTCCAGGCCTAGAAGAAGAAAAAAAACAGTTGTCCAAGGGGATCAGTTAAAACAAGTATATTAATTTTTAGTTAATTAACAATTTAATGCTTGTTTTGTCTTCTTTCAGATTATTTTAAGTCGTCCTGAAGCCCCCTGGTTGAGAACCACGTATCTAAAGCCAAACATTTCATAGGGCTTAAAAACGTAAGAGTAAAAAAAGCTGTAAATAAAGATTATTAGAGTATGTTTTACAAGAAAATGCTGCATAAGTCTACTTCAAAATATCACATTTGACTCAATGTGTTACTTGCCGTTTATTATTTGTGAAATTTACTAGCAGTGTCTGAGCGAAAACTGTTTGTGTACCAGCGGGAATCTAATATGTTGTTCCCCTGGTGCATGTAGAGTGAAGGAGTGTCTCTTACCCCTGACGGCTGGTCGCAGCTCTGTCCCGCTGTCGACGGTTCTTGAACCAGTTGCTGACTTGTGTAGCAGTGAGTCCAGTGGCTGCAGCCAAATCTCGTTTCTCTCGCGGCGAGGGGTACGGCTTTCTGCAGTACCACTCTCGCAATACACTGCGAGACTTTTCCTGCGAGCAGGGGATGCAACCGAAAGCTCTTGAAATCTCTCCCAAAAGGAATCAAGATTATTTTGACACTAACACACAATCAGATAAATCAGTGCTCATTGATCCATTTACATCAAGGACTTAATGTACTACAACAGATTTAAACACCTTGAAGCAGTAGCTGGTCTCCTCTCCATCCCAGATGGTACGAGGAAGAGGGAATTTGCGGCGGATGCGGTACTTCCCCACGGCCCCAAGAGGCCGGCCCCTCTGCAATTCAGCCTCCATGTAGTGAGCCTGGAGCCAGAGCTGCTGGAGGAGAGGGTGACTGCGCGGGGAGAACACGTTCGCCTCTAACCAGGCGTAGAGCTCAGCAAAACGACAGTGGTGGAAGGCGACCGCAGCCCGCGCTTTCAGCACGCTCTCTTGACTGTGGGCCATTCCCAGATACACATTGGATGAAGAGGAAATGGAAGGTAAAGAGCATAAGAATGAGGACAAGCAATCCATGCTTCCACTCTGGAGAAGAACCTTACAAACACACGCCACCTGTTCTGGGGAGAAGCCCATCGCCATGATCAGAACAAGGATGGTGGAAGGTCCCACAAGGGATGACAAGGAATTGGTCTGCAAAACAAGTTGTAAATCGTCCAACCACGTAGTCCACTCAAGGGATCCAGAGGACAACTGAGATCTGTTTCAAAGCCATTAATTGAATCCACAAGACAGCAAGTTTCACAAGAAGACCGAAACCTGCATTAGTGTGCAAAACCAAAGTACCTTCTGATTTGAATGTAATGTAGACACTCTCAGGTAAAGGGGATCTCACAATAGCCTTTTTGTTCTCCAGTGACGTGCTAGCCAATAAGTTCAGTCGACAAGTGTATCAGCTTTTTTGTTTTAGCAGGTTTTACCTACTCCAGCCACAAAGACCCGCCCAGACAACTTGGTACATGCAGGTAATCGGAGAGCATAGGGGTTAAAAAAACAGACAGGCACCAACACAGACGTACACAAACCTTTCAGACTAAGTGTTGTTTGTATTTGTATCAATTACCTGGGGAAGATGTCAGGTGCACAAAGGAGCTTATTTAAATATGAAGGCAATGTTATTTCCTAATCAAATCATGGTGCAGGATTTGCTAGACAATTTGGTTAGAGATGGCATTGCAGAAATATACGTATATAGCATATAAGGTTGTAAAGATGTGGAACAGAATCACAGATGGTTTGCTTCTGGGCGAAAAAAATTTTTTGTTGTTGTTGTACTAAGACAAAGGCATTTCGGTAAATGCTTCACAAAACATGTAAATACCTTTAGATTAATTTCAAACAAAAAGCATTCAGATAGCATTATATAATGTTTATTACATATCACAAAATGGAATATAAAAAATAAAATAACTATTAGATACAAAACACGCCTCTATAAAAAGAGATGTTTACAATAATGGGGGGGGGAGATCTCTTTGGTTTGATCAGCTGCATATTTTTTTCTGTTTGTACATGAAAGTGAAGTGAAAGTATTAAAAAGTGAACAGAACAAATATAACTCTACTGACTAAAATACATGTGCATTAGCATAGTAATCATTACATTCTGGAGTAATATCAATACTCAGGGACAAACCCATACACACAACGCACACATTCCCTTACATTCCAAAAAAGTTCAAACATTGTCCAGGTGCTTGAAAGAAGAAGAAGAAAAATGTATGTTACAAGTCCTATGTAACATAAATAATGTAAAATACAAACACTTTCATTTTAAAAAAATCAAAGACGACGCTACACATTGCAAAAGCAAAAAAATGGAGTGTAAACCTAAGCTAGAATGAGGGAAAGAGCTTTAAGGTCGATTGACCCCAAAATGATTGATAAATGCATTAAATATTGTTTAAAAAAAAACAGAGAGACAAGTATACTTAAGGCTAGAGTTAACAAAGGGTGACTACTGTGCACCAGTCAAAATCTCACAGGCCAAATATTCCACAAAAGCCTTATTGTACAGTTGAATGGTTTAAAAATAGCACCAAATTTTGTGGGGCCATAAAAGAATGTAAATGCTCCGTGAATAAAAACAATAAAATGTGCAAAATATACAGAGCTGTGCTCTGCAATAAGCAAATCAGTCTGGTGGTGAAAATGACCTGTGTTGAAAAAGACATACTTGTAGCTTTGAATCACCTAGACCAAATTGCATTTGATAAGAATTAAGGCGTTTCCTGGAGCTATGAGGAAATTCTACAATTAAAACATTTGATTTTGAAATTTAAAAAGACAAGATAAACAGGATAAAAACAAAACATTTCACTGTATATGTACATGATGGATCTGTAGTGTAAGAAGCGGCTGTTTTTAACAGTAAACAAATCTCAGGGTTCATGTGGAACAGTTGCATAGACAAATATTCAGTACTTCAATTCCCTTCAAACACTCAAGCCTGTTAGGTTTATACACAGTTTTATGGTAATGAGCTGGAATGCTTGGGTAAGCACAATGGTTTATCTATGAAAACCAATGTCAATTATCTATCATACTACAAAATATAGGATATCCATGGTCAGTTTAGTGTGCCATCATAAATTTACGCTGCAAGATACTGTATACATGGAATATAAAACAACACAAATAGAGTGCTTCACTGTGTGTACAAAGTGTAATGTTCAAAACCCAAGCATCTTGCCATTTACAAATCTGACACATCTACTCACCTATAAAAGACACTTAAGCCAACTGAATGTTAAAGCAAAATACAATTAAAACAGCACCTAGACTGAGCAGTGAGGATGCATTATATCCAATGTAGTTGTCACAGGCACATTTAAAGGTTAGTTTGTCAACCAAGTCTTATCTTCCACCCAGTGTTGTGAGTTCACTGAAATCTGATTTCCTTCTCCCAGCGCAGGGTGCTGTTGGTGCATCTAGGTATCTTTATGAGCCGCCTGTACAGGCTGTCTGACAAAATGCTCCCAGTGCGTATAGCTCGTGTTCAGACTCATTTCATAGTTAGATTGAGCTGACCCATTTCACTCCAAGACACCAGTTTTGTGATCAGCATAAACATGTACCTCTATTATATTGTCTCTAGGAGGGAAACCTAATATGACTTGTTTCTCTTCTTTAAAGATAAAAGTACTTGTCAAGAGTCATTTAATCTATAAAACTGAAAAGTAACAAAAATGTAAGGCACAAAAGAAGGCATTCCCACATGCTCTTCACTCCCAGATAAAATAATCTTGATTGCCTCTGACATATTAGTGTCTTTTTGCCACTTAAGGAGTCATGTAAGCCCTTGTAACATGCCTCAAGCTCTGTGTTTCATCAAAAACCATGTAGATACAACCTAAGATTCCTAGAGGTGAATATTGGCTATACAAATGTTCTCTGTGACAAAATGGCAGTGCCTTTCAACCTCTATAGTCATGACCTTGCTGAATATGTAGTTTTCTCAACTGAATTCCATATATAAAAGAGAGGTTCTTTTCTACAACTCCATTATTAGGTTGAATACTTCCACTATTTAAAACTCCATCTACACAAGGAAGAGTGGGGAAAGATGCCAAACCTCTGATGTCATAAATCATAGTTCTTCTCACTTCTGGGACATGGTGGAATGCAACTCTTGCAGGTTGAGATTTAACACTAACTGCATTTAGTAGGTTGTCAAAAGGACTGGCGATTACAAACCCAGATCATCATCCACAGGGACAGACTGTAGTTGTGTAAGAATTTTCGAGTCCCCATCCATGTCCTCCACCTCATCCAGCTGAGAATCTCTCTCCACATCTTCGCCTGGAGGAGGAGTGCCAAACAGGAGGGACTCTCCACCTGGCAAGCCCAACAAAGCAGGGTCCTCTGGAAGATCTCCTTTCCCACGCATGTCAAATAATGTCAGACCAGCAGAGGAGGACAGCGGGACAGGGCTCCAGACTAGCTGGGAGAGGTGGGGGCCAGTTGCCACACCGCTACATATTGGACTGAGTGGTAGCATGCTATCAGGGCTAAGGGTCTGCTGGGATTGTAGGACACTTGCAAGAGTGGGAGTGCTGGAAGAGTCTGGGGTGTTAGGAGAGGCTCCTGGGGTTGGGTTGGCAATTGTCCCTGGCTCAGGGCTGCAGTAAAGTGTAGAGGAGCCAACAAACCCCAAAGGAGATGATTGTAGTGAATTTGAGGTTTGAGCAGTGAGTGAAGGTGCTGGTTGATTCTCAAGTGGATGTACAGCGGAGGATTGAGGATCAAGGGTACTGTTGCTTGAGACCAAATTGTCTGGGACGGACTTGACAGGCATGCTGGCGAACTGGATGCCAGCTGGAATAGTGAGGATGAGTTTGCCATTTTGAACACTTAGGATGGGGCTGCCCCCAATGCCACCTGCAAGTAGGATGTTGCCTGGATACAAAAACAGAATAAATACATCTGATTTCAGAACAAAACAAACAACTGTTTTCCACTGCTAGAGAAATTCTTTTTGTGACCTACCTGGAGAGGAAGTAGGTAGCTGAATCACCCCAGAGTTGAGAAACTGAACACCTGGGATGGTACCAGTAGGGACACTCTGAGGAGGACCTATTGGGCTAAGGCATATTGGTCCCTGGGCAACACTCAATCCTGTTCCAGATCCAGACGTCAGAATCTGGAAAGCACCTCCATGGGACGGAATGGAAAGAGATGGAGTTGCTGGGACCACCTGAGGGAAGGACAGGGTTCCAGTTGGAGTTCCCGCAACGGATGACACAGGCATAAGTTGAGGCAGTGACAGGGGGAACAGCTGAGGTTGGCTTGAGTCTTTGGTTTGGGATATGGGCACAACTTGAGTCGGGGAGGAGATGGGAATGACTTGTGTTCCCATGGAGGTCTGTATCTGTGGAAGGGTGGCTGAAGTAGATTCGTCTCCTAGCTGAGGTGTAAGCACTTGTGTAACTTGTCCATCAGCCATCAGGGGGAGTGATAAAGCACTACTGGTGCTTAGTGTGGTCAAGCCATTTTGGGGCTGTGTTTGCGCAAGTCTTGGACCGATGTGCAAGGTCTGTGTCTGAAATTGAGGAATGGTGACTTGGGGTAACTGTGAATACACTGGGGAGACTGGAACAAGCTGGGGGCAAGATGACACTGTGGCCCCAGATGGATGCTGCATCAGTTGAGAAACTGGAACGCCCTGTATTGATGGTACCACCTGGGGTAAAGACAGCACCTGAGGACTAGAGAAGGAGCTGCGAGTTGGTGACTGAGACTTGGCTTTTCCTAATACAACAATTTCAGGTGGCTGTGTGGGCTGTAGTGGCACCATGGGACTGGAGATGACAGAAGTAGACATGGTGGGCGAGGACATTAAGTTTGTAGGCAGTGACTGAGTGTTATCTGGATTCTTCAAGGCCTCTGGAAGACTGATGAAATCCAAAGGAGAGACGTTGCTGCTGGCAGTTTTTGCATACTCACTAAGCGAGAGAGGTATTGTGCTAGTTAAACTGGCTTGTGGATTCAGAACCACAGTGGGCAGGCTGCCTTGGGCCTCTATATCATTGATGCCCCGTTCATCTTTGGAGATTACTTGAGCCCCGTTTAGTAGCAATGGTG